CCGTCACTCCAAGTGGCAGCTTTTGTACCGTAAGAGAAGAGTCGTCACTTCAAGTAGCGGCTTTCATTAATCACGATTAACCCAACAGTATTTTAGAAAGGTTAGTGTTGGATGGTTACTTTAGTGTTTGCAATTCGTCTGATTGTACTACGAATTTTGATTGAATATAATATGTCAGTTTCCAGTCAAAAAAAATTCTAATTCCCAATTTAATACTACTGGCTAACAATGTATCATTATCTTCTTCTTTTGCATATTTATCTTTATTCCTTATTTGTTGTGTCAATAATGTAAATACATGGCAGTGAATGCACATCAATTTGTGCTATGTACTTTGTCCTCAAACTATATACTTTTTTCTCAACTTGTAAATATTAAAATCTTACTCAAACACCTACAACATAACTTAAAGATCTTAAGTTTAAAAAATAATTAAAGTACATTTCTTAAATGTTGAGGGATCAACTAATGGTGATGCATCCATGACATCATTGTCACTTGTTAGCAAATGCATTCGACCGGATATGCAAATGTATTTGGACGCAATGATTCTAATCCAGCACCTTATTCAATTAAATATTGAGTATAGAAAAGAATATAGTATTCAAATAGTGTCAAATAGTGACATTTTTTTAAATTGTGTAAAAGTCAAACAGGGCCTTTTAAATTGAGACGGAGGGAGTATACTACTCAATTTTGCTAACTTTCATCTTTTGTTTGTCTAAAAAAATATATAACACACGTCTGTGTGCATACGCCAACACGACCTACATATTTATCTCCACTTTTCTACATTATTCACTACTTTTTTTGTTCACTTCTAAACTATGTTAAACATATACTTCATGTGCAGCTAATACAACAAAAATATCCCTCAAATTCTCAAACAAGTTCTCACTACTTATATCCACTATTTATCCTTCGCTAAACATAATCTACATTTTTAAGGATATAATGAAAAAAGTCAAAAACAAAATTTTGACTTTATTAAAAATTACAAAGTCAAAGTGAGAACACTTTTGAGAATCGGAGGAGTAGTTTTTTAAGTTATCTCCCCCAACAAGGTAATGTTTGAAAGAATGAACATAAATTCTTTCATTTAAATTGTTTGAATCGGAGACTATTATTTGTAATTAAATAAAAGTTGGTGAGAGTGAAAAGGTCAATTAAATTAGATTCATTTGACTACACTACGCATCTGGAATAACGGCTAAACATGTAAAACTATAATAAAAATTATTTTAATAGAAATAAGATAAGTTTTGAATGACTGAAGGATATAATTGGCATAAGTCTGCGACAAATTAAAGGGTTGAACTAAATCGCTAAAATTAGTAACAATTAACATCAACTCGTTAATTTTTTATTCAGTTAAGTTGATCTTATATATATATATATATATATATATATATATATATATATATATATATATATATATATATATATATATATATATATATATATATATATGGTCCGATTGATTGAGTTTCAACTAAAAAGTAAAAATGAGCTGAAATATTCCTAAAACAGTCATCCAGAAGTACAAAACATAACCCAAGTATAAAAGATACAATTATACGAATCTTATTCCTTCCATTTTAACCATTTATTGTAGAACTTCAAATCTTAAAAAAGTATCAAAGCTAATTAAGCTTCATTGAATTATTCGATCTTAAAGAAGTTCAAATTTTGTTCAATAAAGTACATTTGTTTAGGCGCACACATACACAACATGCACACAATACAAAGATAGTTAACCACTAATTTCAACTAAGGTCTTTGAAAAAACAAAGAGCTAAACTCCTTCAATTGTGAAAAGTAAACTTCAAACTTCAGTCACCACTAATTTCAACTAAGATCTTTGAAAAAACAAAGAGCTAAACTCCTTCAATTGTGTCCTAAATAGGAATAAAGACAATGTGATAGGAGTTGGAGTTTTTTCCCGGAATAATGCTAACTAAATAAATAATTCCCAAAATACTGATGAGTTAAAAATAATTCCCAAAATACTGCTGATTAACCGTGGTTAAGCAAAACCGCCACTTGAAGTGGCGACTTTTGTTTTACTGTACAAGAACCGCCACTTGAAGTGGCGGCTTTCCCAAAGAATACTACGCAACTTAGCAACGTCAAAGAGAACGACATATGGTAATGGGTCCCAAGCAAATTAAAAATCTCCTATTTTGTTAGAAGTGTTGTAACTTTTTTATTTGTACTCTGATTACTACAAAAAATATACCAAAATTCATAACTTTTTATTATCTTTCATATGACACCAATATTGAATATATAAAATCAAAAAATAATTTAACACTTTTAATTTCTGCGTATCTGTTTTTAAAGCTCTATATATTTTTTGTTTGTTTTCCGATTATTACAAAAAAGTATATCAAAATTTATTATTTTTTATTATCTTGTATAGGAAGGCAATGTTTCATATAGAAAAATAAAAAGAAGATATATTAATTTGTGTAGATATATTAATTTTTTATGATGCACACAATTAATCAAGAGTGATAGATTAAAATAAAATTACACAAAACTCCATCACATTTATTTATTTATTTTTCGCATGAGAATTTATACTGTTTTATTTCATATGACACCAATATTGAATATATAAAAATCCGGAGTGCATGGTAAATAACGATCCTAAACTACACAAATTAATAGATTTTCTTTTTATTTTTCTATATATAACATTGCTTTCCTATAAAAGATAATAAAAAATAAGAAAATTATGATATTTTTTTGTAATGATCGGAATACAAATAAAAAATATATAACACTTTAAAAACATATACATAGTAATTTTTAGTGTTAAATTATTTTTTGATTTTATATATTCAATATTGGTGTCATATGAGAGATAATAAAAAGTTATGAATTTTGGTATATTTTTTGTAACAATCAGAATACAAATAAAAAAGTTACAGTACTTCAAAGAAAAGAGAAGATTTTTAATTTGGGTGGGGCTCATTACCTTTGTTCTCTTTGGCGTTGCTAAGTTGCGTAAGTATTCTTTCGTAAAGCCAACACTTCAAGTGACGGTTCTTGTACAGCAAGAGAAAAGATGTGTAACCAAGGTTAATCCAACAGTATTTTGAAATTATTTTTAACCCAACAGTATTGTGGGAATTATTTATTTAGTTAGCATTATTCCGGGAAAAAACTCTAAGAGTTGAGTTACAATTATCACTTAATTCATCTCTATTTTTTAGAAAACTTTCATCTTTCAAAGTTTCAATTCATAAAGATACCGAATTGAGCCAGTACGAAACTCCAAATTCTAGTTTATTGGAGGTGAATGAATCAACAAATACCAAGCCATTCATTCACAAATCCCTTTTTCCCTTGTATTTGTGTTTTTATAAGGAGTATACATTTAAATTTCTTAATATATTTATATAACACAAATGCATTTTATTATATGTTTTGAGCAAATAGCCAAATGCCAAGCATAAAGTAATTGATTTTATCTATTTTCCTCAGCATTTATTTCCTTTCATATTTTTTAATAATTTCCTGTCTATGTTTTCTCCTAATTCTCTGACCAAACAGACCCCTAATGTCTCGTGGTTTAACACTTTCACTCAGATGAATTACTAATGAGTAATTTCACAATTCACATACACTACATTTTTTTTGCTTTTAATTGCAAATTATCATTCGTTAAATAATGATTATCCCCACATTGTGTTCTTACGTTCCAGAATCTCTTTAGTTTGGTGAGTAGGTGGACATAGGGTAGGTGGACATAGGGATGGACCCCGGCCAGTCCAATTCCGGTTCCGGGCCCGGGCGAGCTTTTTTCCCAGATTATTGGGCCCAGAACCGGTCCGGGTTGATACCGGGTCCGAACCTAACCGGGCCGGGCCCGGGTCTATGTAATATTTTTTTTTGCTTTCTAATTATCCCCCGACCCCCCCTCACCCCACCCCTCAAAACTCCCCAAAACACCCAGCCCTACCCAAGGAAAAGAAAAAAAAATTGAAAAAATCAAAAAAAAAAAAAAAAAAAAAACCGGACCGGCCCGAACTGCCCGGGCCGGTTCAACTAAAAGAGGGCCCGAGCCCGGCCCGCCAAGCCCGCCCACACGGGCTAAAAGCCCAGAACCGGCCATCCAATCTCGGTTCGGTCCGGGCCCACACAGTAGCAGGCCGGTCCGGTTCACGGACCGATTTGGCCCGGTTCGGTCCATCCCTAGGTAGACAAGGAGGTCAAGGCCCTGGATCTTGGTTTTGAACCGAAGCCAGACTGCAACCATTTATTTTTTAATCATAATCATAAATCAAGGTGTTTTTACTTGGACTAAAAATTTCTATTGTAATCTATATAAATCTAGTAGTATGGTTGGACTCGAGTCGGGCCACCCGACCCGTGGACCGGCCCGGCCCGCTACTGTGCGGGACCGGGACTGGCCCGGTTCTCGGGTCCGGGTCAAGCCTAGGCCCAGGGGGTAGGGCAGGTCCGGGCTCGGGTCTCAATTTTGGTGAACCGGCCCGGCCGGGTCGGGCCCGGGCTCGGGCCAAATTGATTTTTTTTATTTTTTTTTCATTTTTGGGGTTCCACCCAGGTTGGGCTTGATGGTAGGATGGGTTTGGGCCTTTGGGGGGGTTTGGGAGGGTGGGGGGGTGAGGGGGGGGGGGGGGTAGGAAAGCAAAAAAAAAATCCAAACCGGAGGCCCGGCCCGAACCCGGACCCGGTGGCTACCCGGGCCGGTCCCGGGTCCACTATTCTTGAACCGCCGGCCCGCCCGGGCCTAGGGCCGACCCGGACCCAGCCCGGACCCGAGTCCACTCCTATCTAGTAGATGTTAAATCTTTATGTAGTTTACAATTGTTGAATTCTGATCTACTACCTTTAAATTTAGTCTGATCTGTTTTGTTTTGATTTGGTGTGGTCTTGGACTGCAACCAATCTAAGTAAAAACATATGGACCAGGCGACCAGCTAGCTATTTTAAGATCCGGTAAGACCTTTAACTCCTATTAAGGTTCTATTTATTTTGGGACCGGAACCGGCTGGAGAACGTAAAAATTTGGATGCTTCTGGAAAATATATACCAATAATTAGCCAGATATAATAACATACACATGGATTGGCAGGAACATAGATAGGCAAGAGCCAGAGGCAAAGAAGTGTATAAAAAATAAATATATACTAGCTACTACAAAAGAAGGGGAAATGAAGTACAGGGGGATGAGGGGAAGACCATAAATGCAATTAGTCCAGCGGCTCGACTGAATAAAGGGATTTGCGTAAGACTTTTAAGTAGCAGCAGCAGTGGCGGAGGCCTCCACAGAATCATCTAAGGCTTTAAGCAACCTAAATAATCCTGCGGCTTCCCTAATCCTTGAGAACTCGATACAAAACGCTTGCACTTCAATAAACAGGTCTTGAACTGCAAAATTCATTATTATAATAATAAAAATCAGTTAAGTTCAGCGGAGAGGCAAATAAAACCTGTATCATCATTAGTTTGTACAAACTAATAATAATAATACTTGCAACTTTTACAACAACAACAATGGTAGTTATAGTGGGGCCTAAGGGCTTTTCACACCATGTGTGTACTTACCGTCTATTATTTTATTCCGGATCAAGCTCTGCAGGAAGACGCAAACGAGCCTTACCAATCTGTTCTGCATATACTTATCCTGAAAATTTTTTAAGGAAATATAAATAAATTTTGAATAAAAAAATGTTAAGGAATTAATCTTATACCACAACAACTATACTAAGGTAAGAAGCAGAGCTCATCAAAGGGACCTTGATATTCTCACAGGAAGATATGCAGTTGGTAATATACATATGTATAAATTCAGTTGGCAAATCAACTGCTTGTGTGAGTCGGTTAACTACTTCCATTGAATGAAGACTCATTTCCATATTAACAAGAACTGTAAAGTATCTGCAACCATATAATCAGAAATTCATCAAATTGAGAGACATAACCGCAAATCAAGACTCCAAAAGAATATTATGAAAAATGGAAGAGGCGAAGAGCACTAATGAATAGAATGTGAACAAATGGGCATACTCAGCAATTTCTGGTGAATTCACTAGCTTAGTAAGAACTTCTACTGCAATAAGAGGATTGTTCTCAACAAGCTCCTGGAAGTAAAATAAATGAATTTGAACCCACACAAAACACCAATTACTGTTAATCTTTAGAAATTTCAGTATCTACGCTACTTACTGGAAGTTTCCTCGGTGTTAGACCACAATGGTATACTAGCTTTGGGTCATTCGCCAACTCTGTTACAACTTGCTGCAGGAGATGTTAGGATAAAAGATTAGACAAGCAAAAGCAATGCAGTCTTTTGAGTTCACCATTACTATTTAGAAGAATGATTTTTCATATTAGCAAAAAAACAAATGAAGCAGCCTTTTGTCCTACTCCTACTATTAGAACCATGGGTGGTTATTAAGGAAGGCCTATTTTTAGCTTTATGTATAGATGAAGTCCAGTGTTTTCAATCCCGGATAGCATAGTGTAGCGGCCAATACTGAAAGCACTATAGCAGTATTGCCAATAGCGGGATGACCAATATTTGGACAATAGTTGTACAAAATACATTATATATGTATGCATATAATTACATTCCATGCACATATCAAATCGAAGAAATGATAAAGCACGAATATATTACTCAAAATCTCAAACGTCATGAAATTTATACTTAGAGGGGCACTAGTGTCTTAAACAAAATAAACGAATAATTTAAGTAACTTATCACTAAACATTAAAAATTAAAAATTACAAATTAAGCTCCTAGAATTCTTGATAAATTAGCCGTCATCAAGATCTCATTATAAGAGAATCAAGGTAGTTGGGATGCCTTGGACTACCCTAACATGGAAATGCACAGTGTACATTATATTTAATCTTGGTACTATTTTGAGCTCTTTTAGTTGGGTTATGTTGTCCCTCACGTGTTTTGGAGGGTGCAGTGAAGTTACATTTACTCTAAAAAAATCAGAAAGTAAAAAATACTCCTAAATTCCCTCAAAACTAGCACTGAAGTAGCCCCGTAAATTATATTAGCCCTATAGCGACCGCTACAGCCGCTATTCTTCCCTCTATAGCGCCTGCTACTGGCCCTATTGCCATCGACTCCGCTATAGGAAATCTGATAGGGCCTACCCTCCGCGCCGCTACTCAGCTGCACTATTGGTTTCACTGAGATGAACTTTCTAAAACAATGTTCTAACAACACCAACATAGAAGAGGAATTACAAAAATTCCAGCCTATATAAAGTTATGACATGGCTATAAAGAAATACTTTTTCCTCTGGGTAGTCAAACAGCTATCAGTCCTAAATATCAGTAAACATGCACAAATTGCACACTGGTATTCATGCAAAGATCTCAGATGCCAAAAAGGTAGTTATGACATGGCTATAAAGAAATATTTTTTCCTCTGGGTGGTCAAACAGCTATCAGTCCTAAATATCAGTAAACATGCACAAGTTGCACACTGGTATGCATGCAAAGACCTCAGATGCCAAAAGATGTATGTTTTGTGAATAATTTCATCAAGTTTGCAACATTTCTTGATGGCTATGATACAGGTTATAGGTCCAAAATTAATAAGCATCAGACCTCTTGGTGTGCAGGAGCAAGTGGTCCCTTCAGAGCTTTTGCAATCGAATCCCTCATTGCTTCTCCTCTGCTAGTATCAGCACACATTCCATGATCCCACTTAAGCTCATAGTTGGAATCAGGGTTTAGCCACACTAGCTACAGAACATCAGTAAAATATTTAGTGATGCAAGTATGGCACTTTTATTTTGGAACCCAGCAAAATATTTTTCTGTTTTTATCCGTGTAATATATATTATTTTCCTTTTAGTACCTTTCTAAGTCAGAATGCATGTTGTTGACGTAACTCTAAACTTTCCAATTCATTTTTTTTAGTTTTTATAGACTTTTAGCGAAATAAAAAACTACGTGAAATTAATCGTTCACGTTTTTAATATAGCTCTCAATGACTATCTGGAGATAAAATTTAAGTATTTTAGAATGAATTGAAAAAAAAGTAGCAAACCGATGTTGTTAGGGTCAGCGAGGGACTAACAAGATAAATTACATAAATTGCAGGAATGAAGAACTAAAATAATATGAAAAGGTAGTATGACATGATAACTTATACCTAGTTCTAAATTGCAGAAATGATCAGTGTGCTTTTAAAGAATTTAATATTATATTCGAGCTTACCTCATTTTCCATCATTTGCAATGGAGCCAAAGATTCATTATTTTTTGGCTTGAGATTATGATGGAATAAAGCAAAATGGCTCACTAAACTGTTATGCGCTTCTTTGTTATGAAGCAGCCAGTCAGTCCATGCAATTTTTGACGTGATTTTCACTATGGGTCATCCAGAAACAGTCTCTCTGTGACTCTGTGCTTTAGTATAGGGGTAAGACTGCGTACATCCGACCCCCCCTTATCCCACCGTAGGTGGGAGCCTTTGCGGCACTGGGGTAAATGAAAATGAAAATGAATGAAAATGATTCGAGCTTACCTCACAATCCAACACTGGAAGCCTAGGAGGGCGAGGCCGTATCCACTGAGGTCCTAATCCTTGGAAGGACATTTTTGACAACAGTCCACTAATAGTCTCATCAACATCCCCAGATCCGATCTTTGGTTTAGATCCCAATTGCAAATCAAACCTGATATTCCACAATGACGCATGAGATGGAAAATTACAAAAAAGCAATTTATTAACTTTCTTTCACATTTCACCCAACAAGGGGAAAATGATGTGTGAAAAAAACGTTGGCGGGATGTTTTTCCTAAGAGTGCTCAAACATCTAAATAGATAAAGACATAAATAATTAAATGCATATATAATCCGATCGATAAAAACTCATACTCTGCTGAACTGCTATCACATCCGTGTGGCACATCGGGATCTGGAATAATATTACTCACTGTGTTGCTCTTGAACAAGAAATTATATTTTTCTGGTAGAGCTTTACCTCCATACTGTTGTTGCAACTGCTCGTGTTGTGGGAAAGACTAGCAGTTTAACAATAAGAAAGACGGCTTGGATAAGTGACAGCACTTGTAGAATCAAAAGGATACAAATAAAATGTTGTTACTCACATGCCGTGAAGGGTCAAAACTTCTCATGTAATCTGTAGCAGACTGTTTCAAAATCTGCATGGATGAGAAACTGATTGAGTTAAATAGGTAAATGAGTGAATATGCAAACAATTTACATGTGACAGTGGAATTTTTTAACTATGTTGGCTGCTTCATTAAACTAAAGATTCTTTCACTTCATGTCCTACTTAAGGAGTATCTAAGAAGAGTTCCAATAAGTTTTCGAATGATGCGTGAAAAGAAATAAAACATGTCCAGTACCTATTGAGTTTTTTTATTGAGCAAGTAAACATCAAAACCATTAGTGGAAGAAGTTATATAGAATGAAAAGAATAAAACCTCTTCACTGTTGGCAGAACATAGCAACTGGAGAATAAATGCCCTTTCACTTTTTTCAGCCGCTTCATCAGATGCAGCCTGTAAATAAAAAGAAACACATTGGCATGCATTCTATTTCAAATCCATAATGAATTAGAAGCAACACAGCACACTTTCATGCAGTTATTAAATAGACCCAAAGAATGAATATAGGAATGTGACCAAACTAGAATGCTTTAGGCAGCGTCTGAAAACTTGAAAACACATTGACACAACTTTTTCTTTCTTTCCCATGACATATAAGAGGGACATGGTCACACGTTCAAGCTTTGAGTAGTAATAAACAAGATCATCATAGAACGAACATAGGGTTGTAAAGTAATTTGATCCACATCTAAATTCTTTTATAAAAAAGAGATTAGAGAAAAATTAACTAACATGCTTAACTAGCAGTCTTATTCCCCCAATGAGTCATAAAACAATGAGTCACCTTTCATCAGTTTTGTCTCGGAAAAATGAACAAGGCACAAAACCAAAGAATGAATTTCACAAGGAGGATTATTGATTACTGATTGACACTATAAACTAATGAGATTGACACACAACGCTTTTTAATATGGGTACCCCAAATGGACATAATGGCTCAATCAACCTTGCAGAAACTTCCTAACACTTTAATCCCATCAAAGATCATCTGGCTAGTAAGATCATATCAAATTGGGCATTAAAAGACTCGCTTGCTATTACTAACTATTCAAGCATAGTTAAAAATAAAACACACTTAGTATTTAAAAAAATTGCATTCTGATGGAAAACTTACATTTACGAGCAACGAGATAAAAGGATTTGATGAAGGCTGTTGGGAAGAATATACTCTATAAAGAATTGCTAGAGCAACCAACCTCTGAGAGGGTTTAAGAAAATTTCCCTGCAAAGAAAAACATGAAAATTCAGTATGAATGTATTGAACTGCAAAGCTTATCTTCTCAGCTCCACAAATAAAACCGAGAAAGATGAAATGTTCTGAGCTTTTCTTTGTCATCTCCAGTTTTAATAGATGATCTAAAGGCTCGTTTAATGTAACTCGGATTCCATAGAAATTCACCAAGTTAACTCCACTTCAACTTCGATTCCATTCCACAAATTGAAAAGGACAGACGGTAAACGAAAAACAACCATTCGTGCAGACGCGGCCACGTGCTATTTAACTCTAGCTAAGGATAGCAACCACACAAAAAAAAACTAGCTTTGCACCGGAAATCCATTCAAACCGCGTATATAAGAGGTATAAAAGCATATGCACAACGATTGTCATAGATTAGGGTATCGACCTCAAGGATCATGGCGAGAGAGACGCAGGCATTGAAGTGGCGAGAAAATTGGAATTTTGATTTGAAATCGTCAACGATCCCTTCCAACGACCGTTGTTGATCTTCTCCGGCTTTGAGCAGAGACAGGAGTGTTCCGGATTCTTCAATTCCGAGCATATTGCTACCAGTTTTCACGATGAACTTAGTGTGAGAGTTTTGGGAAGTGTCAAGAGTTTTGGGAAAAGGTACGAGTCCGGCCTGAATATATTTATAATATAAGGAGTTTAAAATTTAAAACATAATAGGAAACAAATAAGTAGTACTCCTTAATATTCTATTACACTTCCTCAAATTGTGTGGGAGATACAACGTAGACCTGTACAAAACCGGACCAGCCCACTCGACCCGCCCAGTATGCCCGCACAAATGGGAGGACTTGGGCATATATATTTACCCACCGGGTCGAGTCTGACCCGGCCCGCATAAGATATGGACGAGCTTAGATTGTGGTGTAGGCCCGTTCGGGTCAATAAGCTCGCCCCGCTACATTTAGTATATCTAAATATATATTTAGATACATATACTACTTTATTTATTTATTACATATACACATGTACTGATGTACGTACTATATATATTTACTAATTTTTCTTTATACATATTTATAGTTTATTGTGTTTAAATTTAAATTTTTAGTTTTGAACAACTAGCCCACCCAAATACTCCGTATCTATTTTGTACTTAAAGATAATACTTTGTGCTTAAATTTTAAATTTTAGATATAGTTTTTCAGTATTATGTTTGTGTAAGTATTTTTTGCGTGTGGTGAAAGACCTATAAACATTATAAGTATATTAACAATTTTTTAAATGTTGTAATATTATTTTTAAAGTATTAAAAAAATCATATAATTTTGAAAGAATTAAAGTTTTCCCGGACCGGGCGACCGGTGGACTACCCGGCCCGCTCTTACGGGCTGGTATGGACATGAGGTTAGGCCCGTTTTGCGGGCCGGGCGTGGCCCGCCCACACATGGTGGGCAAAAAATTATAAAAAGTCCGACCTGAGCCTGGCCCGAACCCGTTTTTGTATAGGTCTAATACAACATGCAAGTTGTCTTTTAAAAAATTAAATTGCTGACTATAAAGACTTTTAGTAAAAATATCAGCCAACTGTAGGTGTGTAGGGATGTATTCACGACCAAGTCTCCATGAGCGACACGTTCTCTGACAAAATGTTAATTGATCTGGATGTGCTTGCTATGAGCATGTTGAACAGGATTGACAGCCACATAGGAAGCAGAGATGTTATCACAAAATAGCTTAATTGGAACTGTAACCAGAAATCCAAGCTCAAAAAGGACCGAATGAATTTGCAATGTATCCTGTATAGTATATGCAACAGCTCGATATTCTGCTTATGTAGAGGACTTGAAAACGGTATGTTGCTTTTTTGGACTTCCACGAGACAAGATTGGGACCCAAACACACTGCAAAACGAGACGTGGAACGAGACGTACCTGGACAGCCTGCCCAATCTGCATCTGAATAGGCAATCACACAGGTGGCCTGAGTAGTTGGCTGAAGCCCCAATCCATGATCAAATGTCCCCTGCAAGTACCTAAAAATGCGCTTGACTGCAAGCAGATGAGTAGTACGAGGGGCATGCATAAACTGAGACACTAAATGCACATCATAGGTAATATCAGGTCGGGTCAAAGTTAAATATTGTAACGCACCAACCATACTTCGATATTCAGTGGCATCTGCAAGAAGCTCCCCATCAGTGAGGGATAGATAAGTGCGAGTAGCAAGCAGAGTACGAACAGATTTAATAGTGTGGAGATGGAAACAAGAGAGAAGACCAGACACATATTTATGCTGAGAAAGAAATAAACCTTTAGCGGAACGCACAACCTGGACTCCTAAAAAATAATGAAGATCGCCTAGATCTTTCATAGCAAAATGCTCAGCAACAAACTGAATAAAGGAATTAATAGTAGCGAAAGAATTACCAGTAATAATTATGTCATCTACATATAATAATAAATAAATGACATTATTATTCTAGCGGTAAATGAATAATGAATTGTCAGACTCGCTGCAAGTAAAATGATGAGATAATAGAAAACTACTAAAACAGTGAAATCATGCCTGTGGGGCTTGCTTAAGACCATAAATGGCTTTTCGCAATCTACATAAATGATTAAGAAACAAAGGATGAACAAAACCCTGCGGCTGACGCATATAAACTTCCTTTGTGAGGTGAGCATGCAAAAAGGCATTTTTGACATCCAATTGACGAATGACCCACCCAAAAGAAATAGCTAATGTAATGACAATACGAACAATGGTGGGTTTGATGACTGGACTAAAAGTTTCAGAAAAATCTACACCTGCCTTTTGATTAAAACCTTAAGCAACTAGACGAGCTTTATGACACTCAATGGTACTATCAGAATGTTATTTAATCTTATAAATCCACTTAGAGCCCACGACATTTTTAGTATTATCAAATGGTACTAAATCACAAGTATTATTAGAAATAAGAGCATTAAATTCCCAAGTATCAAATGGCTCTGATACCATTTTAAGACTCGGGGTTCCATCCTAAAAGGTCAACCTGATAGGAGGAGTAGTGTGAAGTCTTATATAGTGTTTAATTGTTTTATAGCTTTCCGGTGTGGGACAAATGCTTTAACACGCCCCCTCAGCCCGAACTGGGTTGGACAATATCGGAGTGTATAAATGGACCGAACAGTCCCTTAACAAGTTACCATTAATCATGGGTGCTAAACAAGCAGTCAAACCACAACCAGACTGAGCTCTGATACCATGTGAGAGTACATTTTCCCAAAACTCTCACATACTGACTGAGAGATGGTTGATGCAGCGAAGGTCGAAGTCTGGGCCACGGACGTTGGATCCGTCGTTGAAGAAGCCGACGTGATGGAAGAAGCGGTGGATGTGGTGGTGGCCATTGTCGGTTGCGGCGGAATGGAGGAAAAGAAGACAGTCGAAAAAATTAATGTAGCTTTAGGCTCTTGATATCATGTGAGAGTTTTGGGAAAAGGTACTCTAATAGGAGTCCTGGCCTGAATATTTATAATATAAGAGTTTAAAACATACCAGGAAACAAATATACCTAATAATATTCTATTACTTAGAACTCTAAACAAATAGGATTTACTAAGAGAAATTTTACTTGGACCTCCTTGGCGCAGCCTTAAACCAGCCTACAGACACCACCTTCTACAATCCCAAGGAAGACATAGGTTTCCAAAACCCATGCAACTTGAAGAAAGTCAATTGTCGTCAACTGTATGACATTGGATATATGGGCTTGGGTTTGATGAAACTTATGTCCTTCGTGGGAGCGTAAGAAACTGATGTCGAAGAAAAAGAAAAGAGAGAAAATAATCCCAAGGCTGAGATCTCGTTTGACTACACTAAACCGAATGATAGTTATAAGACTAGGGAAATTCCTTTGTATGGTGACTATGTATCACTTTTTCCTCCAGCAAGTGAGTCAGAGTCTGTGTCTGCAGGGAAAGAAAAATCTGTTTCTAAAAAATCCGAAAGTAACAATGTTTACATTCAAAAGATCATCCGTAAAATTGCGGACTTGCACAAATATTTGGAAACTGAAAGAGATATTTTCAAAACAGAAAAAGAACAACTTTTACATGAGATTTCTCTTCTCAAAATTGCCCCCAGAACAGACACAGCCTCTACCTCCTCTCCTATCTCAAAGAGAGTTTTAAAAGAAAGTTCAAGTTCAAGCTCTCAATCGTTTAGCTCTGTCACACACCATTCTTCTCAGTCCTTTTCTAATGACTCTGGATCTGTGTTTTCTCATTCTAGTGCTGAGGTTAGTGTAAGGAATAAATGTATTTAGATTTTGATGATGCTAGGATAATTAGAATTTGAAAGTACCCCATTAGAAATTGTGTATTAGAATTTCTTTTGTAAGTTTAGCTTAGTCTGTCTGCCAGAGTTCCATCTTGCCTCTACCAGAGTTGCTCCCAGAGTTGCTCACCAGAGAAGCCATCAGGAACTGGTTATCAGGAATAGACCAGAGTTGGCACCAGAGACGGACTTCAGAGACTGGACCAGAGAACCTCTTGAGACTCTGCTAAGTATCATCAGATTCCGGAAGCCCTTCCAACGGTCGTTAAACTAACGGGAAATCCCCTAACGGTTACGAACCTTTCAACGAAAGCATGGCACTGTACACGCATTAAATGCACATTTAATGTTGTACGTACGAAGAGATATTTAAAGCTGATGATTGACCATGCGAATATCTTTACGCCCCCAAAATAGCAAGTCGAAGGACCAAACGGTCAAGTCAACAGTACATGCATTTAATGAAGCTGTCTTCTACACTCCAACGGGAAGACCGCTCCCAGTATATAAGATACACTCTGAAGAACAAAGAAGATAACTTTGCCATAACCCTTGCCAAGATAAATTTGCGTAAACAACTTTCTTGAGATCAAAAAACTCCACTCTAACAAGAAAAGGCCACAGTTGGAAGATAAACATTCCTATCCTTCATCCAACTAGCAAAGGCAAAGTTACTCAGTTCTTCAACACTTCGAGAGCTTCATATACTCATCTTTTGTGAAGAAGCAACGTTGGAGAAAACTGATTCTATATCAAACACTTCTTGAAAAAGAAGGGACGTCTCAAATTAACTGGAGTAAGTGAAGTGGAGATACTTCAAGAGACTCAGTGAAACGAGACCAGCCATCAGGAAGCAGGACTGCATCCCGGGTGGCAACTAGACTTGAAGAAGACGAGGAGTGCCTCTTAAGTTCTAGGGACTAAGGCGTTGTAAACTGTCGTTTTTGCAAGCTTAGTGGAACAGTGGACTAGAGGAACGAGTTGTTCCTTGAACCACTATAAAAACCCCGGTGTCATTTACTTTCAGCTTTTACTTTCTGCACTTAAGATTCTACTGACTAACTCTTTAGGTTGGAATCTGTGTCCAGCAGATCTCCCTTCAGAGTTATCAGAAAGGCATTTTGCCTTAGCTTTCTTCTAGAGGCTACCCGGACAGAAACTTATCCGCTGCCTGGTCTAGTTCTGCCATCAGAACTTGACCATCTCTGTCACCAGATTTCG